AAACCGGAAGTGGCGCTGTAGCTCAAGTGGTAGAGCGCTCGCCTTGAGCTGAAGAGCTGAGGGACAGCGCCCAGGCCCAGAGTTCAAGCCCCACGACGGACAAAAAAAAAAAAAAGAAAAAAAAGAAAAAATATTAAAATGACTTATTTGACAGAAGAGCAGAATAACACGTAACAGTCTGAAGTATATATATATTATATATTTAATGTTTGTGTATGTAAATAGGATTGGCAGGATTCCTGAAGAACATGCTAAAACAGTGCCAAGTTTGATTTCTCATCCACCAGCTAGAATGTCTATATCACTTACATTGTCTTCTTTACCTTGTTTCTGCTATTTTTCCTGGTCATAAAAGTAACCTGTTTTTTCCTTTCCTAGGTGGTTCTGTGGTTGTCATGCTGGGCCAGAGAACTGCGGGACGGGGGTGGGGAGGCACAGATCTCTTTCCTACACCACAGGCTCATGTTAGACTTTCCGTCTGGCATATCAGGATGAATAAGTCAGGAGTGCTTTGATGTTGGAGGGAGGCCTCCTCACTCTCCAGAATCATTTTCCCATGGGAAATGCACCTGCCACAGAGAGTCTATAGGACAATCCATCAGAGTTCAGGACAAAACATGCATATTATTCATGTTCTTACTCAAAATATAAAATAACATGAAAACTTAATCACTGTAAAACAACAACAACAAAACCCATGCATCTGCATTCTGGGTCTTGTCAGGCTTCCCCCAAAGGAAGGGTGACAGGGAGCAGCCTCACTGAAATCCTTTGACACATTGTGATAGAAAGAAGCAGACAGGGCCACTGTTTATGTAGCATCTAGTCTCAACTAAAGTAACCCTTGCCACAGTGCCAAGTGATTCAAAGATGCTGCAGATAGAAGATAGCATTAATTATGCGAGCAAAGTAAACAACTAGAAAATGGCAGAGCTGCTGCTTCTGGCATAAAAAAACACAAAACCTAGGAGACTTAAAAAATAAAAGGAGTCCTTTGGATCTCAAGTCAAAAATGCCAACTCTTAAAAAAGACTGAGGTACTCTATAATAATTGCTATTAACAGTCAGCTTCCCCTTAATGTATATTGTTCTTTGGAATATTATCCATTTATAGGGTGAGGTCATCCTAATTAGGAGGACATTTAAATATATTTCCCAGCATATGAAGACAAATAGCTATGGGATTATATTTCTTCTTCCCCCCCTTTTTAGAATGTTGAATGTTTAAAATCAATCTCGTATTTAATAGAATCTAGTGGCAAATATTTCTGGGATCTTTCTAGCCAATTCACAGTCCAAGTAAATAAGAATCCTTCTATCATCTGGGAACATGTGTACTTTCTGATGCTGCTATGTAATTTATAAATAACAATATGTTGAGTACATGCCCCAAAATGTCTTTGGGATGGGTTTGTATTGTCAAAAGTGTTTAGAGGGCTGGGAATGTGGCTTAGTGGTAGAGTGCTTGCCTAGCATACACGAAGCCCTGGGTTCGATTCCTCAGTACCACATAAACAGAAAAGGCTGGAAGTGGTGCTGTGGCTCAAATGGTAGAGTGCCAGCCTTTAGCAAAAGAAGCTTAGGGACAGTGCCCAGGACCTGGGTTCAAGCCCGAGGACTGGCCAAAAAAAGAAACAAAAGGTATTTAGAGACCCTAGTCCTAAAGAATTGGGATTTTAAAACTGGTAGTGGTGCTTTAAATTACTCAGGAAAACTCTCTTACCTTTCTTGTTGTACCTCAGAGTCCCCATTCTCTTGTTATTACTCCCTGTAGCCCTTGACACTAAGGAGATTGAAATGAAGATCCAGACATCCATATATGTACGGCTACTAAGCAACTTGTTGTTCATGAAACCAGTTTCTGTACATCTTGAGAATAACATGCTTGAATATTCAGTAATGAGTTGTGCAAATCATAGGCCTTCAGTGTACCTCATTCATTCATTTAATACTCACCAGGTGCTTTTTATTAATGAGCTACCACTGGAGCTCATTAATTATTAATGAGCTACCAAACAAACTACTAGAGACAGTAGTTAATAAACATCT